GAGTAGTATTAAAAACATAAAAGGAAAAAAAACAAAAAAAAAAACAACCGAACCTTACAATAAAACACTTCTGTAACTTAAAAGTCCTAGCCAGGGATTTATGAATTTAAGATGAATTTAAGCTGATTTGTTGGTTAATGAGTTTGCTAAGTCCACATCCTGAGCGGTAAAACCGTTATAAACCCGAAAATGTTCTTTTTTGCATTATCGTTTAGAGTGAAAATTTGATTATTCTAAGAAATGTGTATTGGCTAGTAGGAAACAAGCTTTAAAATACTAACATTGTGTACAATGGGGAAAGTCGCGACTCCAATGCCCACCCCCTCACTGGATACGTCCCTGATGTCAGCTTAGTGATGAACTCAACTAGGTTTTACTTCCTGTAACTAATGTTTTATATTTACTTTATTTTTACTTGACTGTCATTATTATTAGCTGTTATTTTAACTTATATTTATGTGCGCAGTATTTTATTTAACCTCTGATTTTCTTATGTATACAGTAGGCTTGTATGTATTTATTGAAATGAAAATCGTCCCACCAGAAATCTCCTTTGGACTAAACAAAAAAAACTTTTCATAATTTTAGAGCTTTTGAGAGCTAGCAAATTTTTAAGCTGTTTAATAGCAGCTGGTAATCTGCTATTAATATTAAGGAAATAATATTCAAATCAAGTTGCTGCTTTAGCACTGGGAATACAAATAATGCATAAATCAAAGATAATAATACAGTGCTCATATACATAGGAACACGATAAAATCAAAAAAAGTGTATCAACGAAATCTCCTTATTATATGTATAAATACTGGTGGGATTCGAACCAACAATCCTCTCTATCTCGACGAGAGACACTCCGTTTATACCACAGACGATTTTACCTTTGCTTTTCACCATACAATATCTGTCTCTTATACACATCTAGATGTGTATAAGAGACAGCTTGCAATCACTCTGAAATTTGAAATTGAATGACCAGCTAAATTGAAATGTTCGGCTACTGGTTGATCAAGCTTAGATGTTCTGATAGCTGATCTGTGTTGTGTCATTCTCATACGGAGAGTGTTTTTTGTTTCTCCGACATATTGTTTGCCACAAATATTACAATATATGAGATAAATGACATTTATATATATATATATATATATATACATACATAATATACATTATATATATTATATATAGGCCTATATATATACATAATATACATTATATATATTATATATAAAATACCTTATGGTGGGATCTAAGTTGTACAACATATACAAATATACAACACATTAAAGATATTTGTCGAGCAGGCATCAGTTTTTCGAATACCGGTAATCATTTTAAGAGAAAATATACAAATGTACAATAATTCAATAATAGCTAATTAATAATAGTTGTTTATTTTGTCCAATTATTATTGGATGGTCTTGAGTTCGGTTCAATTTTTATCACCTTGCCTGATCATGAGATGTACATTGCGTTTTTTCATTCATTCAGTCACCATAGATTCTTCTTCTTTTTCTAATTGTGTAGCTGCATGATTCAGTCCAATTTCCTTCAGGTCATCAATGAATGACCTCATTTGATTTCTACGAATTACTCTCATTTTCTCCAGATTCAATATCAGTGTCCACTGGTCTTTGTATCGACTCGGTGGTAAATCGTAGAGTCCACCCAGCGTCTTAACGTCATCTTGCGAAATTACTCGACCGAGTTTGATCAGACTCTGTCGATGAACTGAGAATGACGTCACATTGGTTTCGTGGAAAGCCTTACACAGTAGATCACTGACTTCTCCTTCTACAACACCACGGGTATCAGTAACGATAATCGTATCCACTAGGATTTTAAGGTCGGTCGGTTTAAGACTTCCATTGCGGTTCAATAATTTGAACAAGTCCAACGTGGTCTTGGATCGTAGCAGATCACCGGCAATGTTCACTTTGTCTTTGTACAATAATTTCAGCATGTTTGTCAATTCGTGGTTATCATACCAGTTAGATACTTGTACCAACATAACATGAAAATCTCTTGTTCCTGTAAAAACAATTTTTTCCCCAAAATGATTATTATTGCTGTTATATTATTTGCAAAATAATATTAACTATTACTCATCCTCAAGCCTATCAAATATTTTGGCAACTTGTGTTCTTGGTTTTTCTTGTTTTGTTTTTTGATTTGTTTATGGACATACACAAATTCACTTTACTGTAACAAGCGTTTTTATATAACGAATGAAAAAGAATTCATTGTGAACTTGTACTTGTTAGCATGTTGTGAGAATGAGTGGGGATTTTTGTTTTTGTTTCATTGATATAAGAGTAATCTGTAAAATATATACAAAATATTTAAGTATTCTTTGTATTTGTGTAAATTAAGATTTGGTTTTCTTACTCAAAATAAGCATGCTTCCGATTTACTACATTACGTTCAAAATTAACCAAATAAAAGCAATTAAATTATGAATAATTGCAATTAATACCTTCTGCACATGTATTATGTACATCATCTGTTTCCATTGTCACTTGTTGACCTGTTTTATCAGAGGTCATGAGCTCAGTCGACTGTACTGGGTGTACAACAGAACCACCTGAAAAATGACATCCAAATTTGCATGTCGATTATTATATAAAAATTCCAATTCCAAATATGTTTACCATAGTTCCTCTACCTGAATTCAGATATAAAAAAGATTTTATGAATTAATAATTTATTAACATCAACACTTCCATACCTGCTTTAAACAGGCTCTGTACTTTAGCTGTTGACATCGCTATACGTTCACCTGTTTTATCGCAATTCATATTCTTGTTCTTTAAGCACTTCTCAAGTTCCTGAAAGTGTGGTTTCTCCGGAGTTGAACATACTAAGCAAAGTATGTTCAGAGTATAGCCAACAACTTTCTTAGACGGGTATACCTCATCTAGGTGTTGCTTTAAAACATCCAAAACCTGTAAAATTAAAAAACATTTTATACCAAATGCAACTGGACTGTAATTAGCCACTTTGCATCAAATCTAAATTTAATAAAAACATAAATGACCAACAACCAGTCAATGACGTCATTACCTCCTTACAGATGTCGGGACGTGGCTTGCATGCTGGCTTGTCTGCACCGTCTGCATCTCGCTCTTTCATCCGAGATATTTCAAGCTTAAAAAAGGAAGGAAAAAACGAGAAATATCAATCTGAATAATATAGCATATTCATGAAAACCTCAATGGCACCATTGTAATGAACAAGGAATTAAACAGAATAATAAAGAAATATACGGTATGTATTTTAAAACCAAGGGGCATATTTACCTTTAAACACTGTTTGCTGTCAATGAATATCCGACCTAGTCTCAGGTAATGGTTATCATCGAATCCTATTTCAGACTTATTCTGAAACAGCTTTGGATCATTAAAACCTCCTCTATCCTGACACAGGCTTACAAATCTAACGACCAAGAGATTATAGACGGCGTCAGGGAGAAAGTCTTTAGGCGTAACATAGATGGATACAGTCTGCTCATCGTCTTTCTTAATTTCCAATCTATTATTAGGCTCGGTCTTCATCCGAGAAGGGACGACAAAGCATCGTGGGTCATCTTCTGATGCGTTCTTCATTTATAAACGAAAAAAATCGAAGTTAATAGGCCTATACACTAATTACAATGAGAAGGGGAGAAGATAGACATGGTGAATAGGTCTCCTTCCAACTTTCTACAAACCCATTGTATTCTCCCACTTAATAGGATTTCATATGAGCAAAAATTAACAGCTTTGAGTCTCTAATATACGACATCGTCTCGGGCGTAGTTAATAGAAACGGACTATGTCTAGTTACAATCATGCAATAACCTACTATAGCAATGGCCATACCTTTTCAAAGAGTAGTCCAAATTCCTTCATAAGTTCAATGAAGTCTTCAAAGATGACGTCATCATCATCTTCACTGGCAGTAAGTTCATTTTCCCACAAATAACGCAGTAAGCGTTCTGCAAGAATCCCTTCTTTATCTAATTTACGCCAAAACTTCGCCATCACTGGAACCTATATTTAAAAAAATAAAATAAAATAAAAATTTATTTTTAAAAATCGAAAAACTAAAATCTTATCGAAAGCTAATGTGTTTGGCAAAATGGTGGTTACAATTGTAAAAGCCTCACTTGGATCACATATTTACGAATATGGACGGGGGATGTAGTAGACTATGGCAGTGTAAGATATATGAAAATTACATTCAAATCTCTCGTGCATTGAAATTAGTTAAACAGAGACCAGACTTAAAATTGATACCATGAGATTGATATATAATATTATAATACATTGCATACACACAAACCTATTATTATAATATAATTACTAAAGTATTCCCCCTTCACCTATCACCACACAGCCCAGTAACAATAACAGAATTACTAATAATACCCCTCCTCCCCCTCACTATGAAACCAGTGGCGGATCCAAAAATCCGAAATAGAGGTGGCCAGAAAGTCAATTTTACAGATAGAGGTTCCAAACTACTTCAGACCAGCGGTGACGCCAGAAATTGCAGACAAGGGCAAAATTGCCGAATGAGGGCTCGGAACCAACGGGCCGACTAGAGCCTCTGTCAACGGCCCAGAATAAGAAATTCTTGGTAGGGTTCAACGGGAACTTACTATAGTCTAAAATGGGCTTTTAGAACACAATATTACGGATTAGCAATCAAAATAATGTTGTTTGGATTGGCAAATTGTTTTTTTAAATTGTTGATGTCACCCAATGGTACTACCTCTGCCTCAGACCCACCATAGTGGGCCGGACATACGATGCGATGTCTATATCACTTTTAGATAGCCGTAGATGGCTCTTTTTCAACATTTTCTATAACTATTTCTTTTTTCTATTTTTGAGACCCGGAACGGCTGTGCACCTCTCTCCCACCACTACCATCCGCTTGCTTCCGCCAATAGGAACTGTAATCAAATAATTGAAATTGTATTTTGTTGGCCTATCTTTTATACATTTAAAACTATACGGTACCTTGTCAGCATCACCAGGTTCTACATCTGTGATGATTTTCATGAAGACACCAATCAGCATATGGATGTTAGTAATCACTGTGTTCTCCAACTTTTTGTTAGTGGGCGAGTACAGAATGACTCCAAGATCATTCAGGTAATTGAGGACGTAAATTAGGTTTTCTTCCTTAATACCACATTCCACAGCAATCTTAGTGACCTAAAGAAAAAAAAATATATAAAACATATTTAAATTGAGGGCTGTCAAAAAATATTACCACGCGAAAAACTGTTTAATCATAAAATAATTAGCAAATTCACATTTATTAAAATTAAACATTTTCACTAATAAATCTAAATGTAAACGTAAAACAAATCGTTCTTCATCAAATGTTGCCTAATCTTAAGTAATAATTAAATAATCATATACCTTATTCAAGGACATGCGCATTGTTGTCTTCCCAGCTTCTTGTACCTTAGTTTGAAAGTCCACCCAAGTGAGGGGAACAGTTTTTGCCATTGCCTTCATGTAAGCACCAACATTTGATTTTAATCGCTCAATCCCTTCATCCATTTTTGCATTGTTGGCTACTGCATACATATGGCGGTCAACATGACTCTCGAATGGTGTGTCTTCGATTTCCTTAAATATCCTTCTGAATTTGGCGTCAATCTTTCAATACAATTAAATTCATTAT